GAGGAGGAGGAAGAAGAGGAGAAGGAGGTGGAGGAGGAGGAGGACGAGGAGGAGGAAGAAGAGGAGGAGGTGGAGGAGGAGGAGGACGAGGAGGAGACAACGAGGAGGAGGAGGAGGAGGAAGAAGAGGAGGAAGAAAAGGAGGAAGAAGAGGAGGAGGGCCCGACAATGGAGGGGGAGGAGGAGGTGGAGGAGGAGGCCACGGCGACGGAGGAGGAGGAAGAAGAAGAGGAGGAGGAGGAGAAGGAGGACGAGGAGGTGGAGGAGGAGGAGGACAAGGAGGTGGAGGAGGAGAAGGAGGACAACAACGAGGAGGACGATGAGGATGAGGAAGACGAAAAGGAGGACGAGGAGAGCAGAAGTGGAAGGAGGAGGAGGAGGGGGAGAAGGAGGAGGAGGAGGTGGACGGAGGGAAGGTGGCTGGCGATGGCGCGTGGGGNGGACGAGGAGAGCAGAAGTGGAAGGAGGAGGAGGAGGGGGAGAAGGAGGAGGAGGAGGTGGACGGAGGGAAGGTGGCTGGCGATGGCGCGTGGGGTTGAGGTCGTTGACCTCGGAGTTCGGCAATCGACGACAGCGCGGGCCCCAAGACGCGGAGGAGGAGGAAGACGAAAAGGAGGGGGACGAGGAGAGCAGAAGTGGAAGGAGGAGGAGGAGGGGGAGAAGGAGGAGGAGGCGGCGGACGAAGGGAAGGTGGCTGGCGATGGCGCGTGGGGTTCCGGTCGTTGACCTCAGAGTTCGGCAATCGCAACACCGAACTCCGGCGACAGCGCGGGCCCCAAGACGCGGAGGAGGAGGAAGACGAAAAGGAGGACGAGGAGAGCAGAAGTGGAAGGAGGAGGAGGAGGGGGAGAAGGAGGAGGAGGAGGCGGACGAAGGGAAGGTGGCTGGCGATGGCGCGTGGGGTTGCGGTCGTTGACCTCGGAGTTCGGCAATCGCAACACCAAACTCCGGCGACAGCGCGGGCCCCAAGACGCGCGTGGGAGAACACCGGGGCCCCCGTTTTCGAATTTCAAAATAGCCCAATCTGGGCCGTTGATCTCGCAGATCTGATGGCCCAGATTAGGCCGTTTTGTTTTTCGCTTTTGGAGGCCCTACCGGCCTCCAACAAATCTTCCTGCCGGCGGCCCCGGTTTGCCTGTCCCCGCAGTCCACCCCTCCACCGCCCAAGTCTCTGTCCTGGACCCCCCCAAATTTGGTGATCGGACGTAGGGGCCCCAGCGGACGGCCGACGGGTTGTCCGATCGGACAGTCCCGGACGGTCAGGGGGGTACGATCAGGTAACGTTGTTTTAAACTCTAATTTGGCCTGTTGCATACCGTATAGGTGCAGACCAGAACAAGAACCGACCTTTCAATACAAAGTATAAGATACCACAGCGGAAGACTTAGATACCAGTGATCCGAACAATCAATGTTGTAATGCAGCCCTGAACATACATCATCATCATCGTTTCATAGTGTGAATGGGTCTGGCGCTTCACACA